GATATGGCAGCCAAGTGTGACTTAAGCGAAGACAAGGACAGACCTCGTTCTGTGAGGTGAAGCAGGAAAGACAGGATCGTCGGTATCGACGGTCGGTCGTCGGTCAGGCCTCTTTCCAGGAGGAAGGCCTGGAAACGGTTAAGGCAGGCAGAGTAGCACTTCTTGGTGGCCGGCTTGTGCGCCGCCTCCAAGATCGGGAGGACCCCTGGACACAGCGACCTCAGCACCGGATCCTCCACGCCGAAAGATGCAGAGAAGCTAGGTCGGGGTGAAGAAGCTGGCCGTCTTCCCTGGAGAGCAGGTCCTGCCGAAGCGGAAGGCGCCTCATCAGCCCCTGCGACAGCTGGAGCAAGACCGGGAACCACGGCTGTCGAGGCCATTCCGGTGCCACGAGGATGCAGTCCGTCTGCGCCGACTGGATTCGCTCGATCACCTTCGGGAGGAGCGGGAACGGTGGGAAGAGGTAGAGCAGGTGCCTCGACCAGTCCAACAGGAACGCGTCTCCGAGGCATCCCGGCACCGTGTTCGGAGCAAGTCGGGCACCGAACTGAGGCAGCTGGGCGTTTTGTGGCGACGCGAAGAGATCTGCGACGGGAAGACCCCAATCCTCGAAGATCTCCGACAAGACCTCGGGGTTCAACCTCCACTCGTGGGATGTCGCCCTGGTTCTGCTGAGCGCGTCGGCCTCTACGTTGATCTCTCCCGGGAGGTGTATCGCCGATATCGATACCGAGCGGGCCACGCACCAATTCCACAGCTCCATCGAGAGCGCGAGGAGTTTCCTTGATCCCGTGCCGCCCTGCTTGTTCACGTAGAACATAGCTACTGTGTTGTCCGTTAGAATCTGGACAGACTTTCCGGCAATCAGGAGGGCAAAGGACTTCAGGGCCTTGAATATCGCCAACAGTTCTAGGTAGTTTATGTGGCACTGTCTTTCTTGCGGAGACCACAGGTCGTGAACCGAGAGATCTCCTGTATGGCATCCCCATGCGAACATCGACGCATCCGTCGTGATTGTGACGGTCGGGGGGTCTGGATGAAAAGGAAGGCCCTTGCAGACGTGTTCGCGCCTCGTCCACCAGGCCAAAGAGTCCTTTACCGACTTCGGTACCAAGAGACGCTTCGCGGCACTGTCCCGCATAGGGTTGAAGTGGTCCAAGAACCACCTCTGCAAGGGACGGAAGCGCAGCCGTGCTATCGGTGTCACCATCACTGTGGAGGCCATGTGCCCGAGGAGGACCTGCACTTGCTTCGCCGACACGTTTCGGGAGCGACGTACTTTCAGTGTCTCGGTCCGTAGCGCCCTGAATCTCTCTTCTGGAAGGGACACAGTCTGGGAGAGAGAATCGAACATGGCGCCGATGAACCTTATGCAAGTGGTGGGCTGGAGTTGGGATTTTTCCTCGTTGAGCTGAAGGCCCAGGTCTTCGAGGAGGGAGAGTGTTCTTGTCACCTGCACCCGCAGCAGGTCCGGTGACCGTGCAGCCAACAACCAGTCGTCTAAATAAGGGAAAATCCGGATCTTTTCCCGTCTGAGGGCCGCTGCGACCACCGACATGCATTTCGTGAAGGTCCTTGGAGCCGTCACGAGACCGAAGGGGAGGACGTTGAAATTGTAGGATTGTCCCGCTACCCTGAAGGCCAGGAAGCGT